CATCTCCAAATGAGGTTTAGCTGCACTTCTGGAACGTGCTCACTAGTTAAGGCCCTTGCACCATCCCAGGATGCAGGAAAAGTGGCTGTTATAGAAATGACTGAACAAATCCACATTTACAAGTTGAAGCTGACAGGTAGCAACTGTTAAAAACTTATGCTTTGTCTATCCTTGATCCTAGCCTGGAATTGGAAACACACAGCCTTTAGACTGTACCTAATTCCACAAAGCAGGAGCAGTATAACACGTACTCCTCATGCAGTGAAACACCGTTACCTTTTCTCGGGCTTCAATCTTCTTTGCCCATCTTGTTGCTGACCATTTTTCATTTATATTTTCCTTCTCCCAGGCAAGTCGCACACACTTTTGACGAGCACTGYATTGGAACAGTCACAAAATCATATTCAGAGTCTTTATTAAAAAAAGGTTCTYCCTGAYKCTGGCCTACCAAATTTCMTACAAGGGAAGATCACACGTCTGCRTTACTTCAGACACCTTGCTTTAAGTCAGTGTCACATACATCTCTGTGGCCTAATTAACCTTGTGTTGAGTAAATGCTTCACTAGACCTAACAGAATTACAGAATGGGTCAGATTGRWAAGGGACCACAGTGGGTCACCTGCTCCAACCTCCCTGCTCAAGCAGRGCCAYCCCAGAGCACAAGGCACAGGATTGTGTCCATATGGTTCYGGAATATCTCCACATCCTCTCTGGGCAACWTGTTCCAGTCCTTGGTCACCTAAGCTCCAAAARCTCCACATCACTCTTGTACTRAGGAGCCCAGAACTGGACACAGCACTCCAGCTGCRGCCTCAGGGCTGAGCAGAGGGGCAGGATGAGCTCCCTCAACCTGCTGGCCACCCTCTTCCTTATGTACCCCAGGACACCATTGCCCTTCTTGGCCACAAGGACACTGCTGGCTCATGGACAGCTCGTTGTCCACCAGGACCCCCAGGTCCCTCTCTGGTTCACAGCAAGCTGGCCTCCAGCCTGTACAGGTGCTCAGGATTATTGTTTCCCCAGAGAAGGACCCTGCACTTGCCCTTGCTGAACTTCCAAAATTTCCTCTCTGCCCCTCTTGTCCAACCTGCCACGGTACTTCTCAAAGGCTGCTCAGCACTCTGGGGTACTGGCCACTCCTCCCACCTTTGTGTCATCAATGAACTTGCAGAGGAGGCATCTGCCCCTTCATCCAAGTCACTGATGAGCTAAACAATACTGGGCCCAKTACTGAACCTTGGGGGACAGCACAGATGACAGGCCTCCAACCASACCCGTGCCACTGCTTATGGATCTCTGGGATCTGTCCTCAACCCATCTCACTGTCCAGATGAGCAGCCATTCCTAGTACTGCTTCAGGATCAGAAACTTGATTCAAAATTATAGAAACTCATATATAGACTAAGCTAAAGGAACATAATTAGTTCATCCTCCTGCAATTCCAGTGCAGTTCTGTAGGCAGAGAACCCATTTAATGCCTGAAAGTGACTTAAGCAGTAGCAAATCAAAGCTGCAGCAGCATTTACTTTGCWTTCCCTCACACCATCCACCACAAATTACCTGTCAGTTGCCTCAGCTGCTGTGAGACTTCCTTTGTTCCTGAACAGCAGCTACCAACCAACACTGGCAATGGAAACCTAAATATATTCAACTATGATATTACAGTCTGCCAAATTTTTACTGTTAATCCACTCCTATTTGAACTTTCTAGACTTAGCAAGCATCAATCATCACGTGACAGCATGGGAATTTCTTCACCCAGGTCAAGAAAGACACCAACTGCTCACCTGTGTGGGAACTTCAGAACAAAGTCAGTCAGCTGCATGCACTTGAAGGGCATGGCCTGCCTCCTGACACCACTGCAGGGGCCATCCACCAGTGCCTGAAAAAGGGAAACAAATGTCGAGGGTTTGCAGCAGTTTTCCCATCATATTTGATTTAGACAGCAGTTTCCTAACAATGAATGAACAGTTTCTTGACAACACTGATCCAAAACTGAAATACATATATACARACAAAACTGAAGGCTGTTAAATTTTGCCTGTACAAGCCAAGTTTTACAGAAAGAATTTTAAAGGCCTGCCTTTGACAAAAAAACAAACTGAATTAAAAAAAAAAMMMACACACAAAACCAAGATGTGCAWAGGAAGAGACCCCTAGCMCAAATATTCAYTTTASACATACATTAATGYCATTCCATTCATAAGCTTTAGACTCCAACTGACATCCCTTGTCCACTTCTACACCTAGGAAACACAGCAGAGAAGGGAATGTATCACTTGCCAGTGGGAAAAAAGCTTGCTCCTGAATGTTYCAAATACAACAGCTGTTAAATCCTATCTTTTCATCAACTGCTTATTTATTTGAAAACAAAATCTCTACTGAAGTCAAATACACCCTGCTTTAGCATACAAGTCAAGGCGGGAAAGAGGAAACAAAGGTGCAGCACCCACAACTTACCCTGTTTTGATCAATAACATCCACGATGGCCACCAGTTTGCCAGCRTGGGGCCCGAAGGAGATGAAGGCAACTCTGCCTATCTCCACGAAGCGCTTGAACACCTGAGAAAGCAGGCAGGAATGGACAGAGTTAGGCGAGAACATACCCTAGGCCATTATCAGATTCAAGGCTCTCAGACCCTTTAAAAGAGCTTCCCGAAAAAATCAGAGAATGGTTTGGGTTAGAAAGAGACCTCAAAGATCACCTGGTTCCAACCCCCCCTGCCGTGGGCAGCGACATCTTCCACTTCACCACGTTTCTCAGAGCCCCATCCAGCTTGGCCTTTAACATTTTCACGGATGGGACATACACAACTTCTCTGGGCAATCTGTTTCAGTGCTTCAGCACCCCCATAGTGAAGAACTTTTTCCTACTACCTAATCTAACCCTACTCTTTCAGCTTGAAGCCATTCCCCCCTGTCCTGTCCACATGCTCCTCTAAGCAATCCTACCCTATCTTTCCTGTAAGCTCCCCACAGCTACTGGAAAGCTCTCGAACCGCACGAAACCCCCACGCTGGAGCAAAGAGACCACGGTCCCGCCTCGCTCCGCGCCCGGCCCTGCCCGACCCCGCCGCGCCACACAACACGCGGGTCCCGGCCCCGGCCCCGGCCYAGCGCCGCTGAGGCGGCTGCGGGCTGCCCGCCTCGGCCAACGGTGCCGGGAAAGGGAGGCATAGGCAAGAGCGCTGGGGCGGGCAGGGGGGAAGCGGCGGGAGCGCGGCGGGGGCCGGCCGGGCCGGCGGGGCAGCGGAGCCCGGGCACGGCCACACGTACCATGATGGCGGGCGGSAGCAGAGAGGGCGGGGCGGCCCCGGCGGTGCCCGGAAGCTGCGGCGGCGCCGCCGTGCGCGTGCGCGGGGCGGGGCGTGCGCGGGGGCGCGCGCAGTGCCCGTGGCTCATGCGCGGGGGCGCGCGCAGTGCCCGTGGCTCATGCGCGGGGGCGCGCGCAGTGCCCGTGGCTCATGCGCGGGGGCGCGCGCCGTGGCCGTGGCGCATGCGCGGGGGCGCGCACCATGGAGGTGGCGCATGCGCGGTGCGGTCTGGGCGCTCTGGGTCCGTCCGTGCCCGCGGCCTCCTGTGCCCCCTCCGCTCTGTGGCGGCAAAAGGGCTTTTCCAGAAGAATCAGTTCTTCTCTGATCCCCTGCACGTCCCACCCTCCTCCACAGGCACTGCGTTACACTGTCCCTCCCTGACAGCCCTGCGTCGCCCACCATGAGCCCACCCTGTGGTGCAAAGGGTGGGATACGTCGGGATTATCTTCAATCAGAAGATAATCACATCTTTGATGTGAGATGTATACTTCATGCTGTTTTCGGCTGGTAGATGAACCCAATGCACAGTTCCTGGTGTGGGGCTGTGTTTGGGATTTKYGCTGAACACAGGGTTGATAATAYGGAGATGTGTTTGTTGTTGCTGAGCAGGGCTTGCACAGAGCCAAAGGCCTTCTCTGCTTTTCCTGCTGCCACACTAAGGAGGAACTTGGGGGTACATGGGAAGTTGGGAGGAGACATAGCTGGGACAAGTGACCCAAAGTGACCCAAAGGATATTCCAGATTATATGACATCAGTGTATAAAGTGGGGGAATGAGGGAGGAGCGGGACATTTGGAGTGATGACGTTTGTCTTCTCCAGTCACTACTACCTGTGATAGAGACCTGCCCTCCTGGATAAGGCTGAGCACCTACCTGCCCACAGGAAACAGTGAATTAATTATTCATTTTTATTTGTTTGAGTGTGGGGTTTTTACTTTCCCCACATTATTAAACTGTCTTTATCTCAGCCCATGAGTTTTCCAGCTTTTACCCTTCCATTCTCTCCCTGATCCTGCTTGTGGGGGAGTGAGCGAGTGGCTGCCTGGGGCTTGGTTGTTGGCTGGTGTAAAACAACCACARCTTTCAAGCCTAATCAATAGAAAGGAGACCTTATCGGTGGAACAGGCAGCAGCATCTCCCAGTCAAGGACATCTAGGAACTAACAAGCTTTAAGGATGCAGAAAATCAAGACATTGATATATGTATGAACTRTCTTCCTGATAATGCTAAAAATCACACCTCCCCATAAAAAAGGCCCTGCCCATGTGAAGACTCTATCTTGATCAACTATATTTGATAAGCAGGAATTACTGCATCACATCACGCCAGTGAACCTGAAAGAAGACCTAGAAAGCATGTGTCCCTGAGTGAAATGTAACAGTCTTTAGAAGTCAGAGTTGTGTTTGTGTGTTTTATAAATGTATAAAAGAAAAAGAAAAAAAAATAGAAGAATGCTTGCTTTTAACCACCAGGATTTTCTTGCTGAGAACATGGGATTCAGGTGATAAGTCCTGTCCACTTCAGAACCTTGCAAGGTCAGTTTTGCAGCTTGGAGATGTCCACCCCCTAGAATAACATTTCAGAGATTTCCTACTCCTCTATTAAGAGTAGTTTGTCTACCAGCATGAAAATATTGGTAGTGGGGGGAAAAACGGGCTAAAWATAAAAAGTACACTTGGCTTAACTTTTCACAATTTTATTAATCTTCAGAAGCAGGCACTGAAGAGTATAAAAAGATAAATAACCACTGGTTTGCACACATTCCCAAGTGCTGTTCACTTCTGTCTCTCCCAGAGATCTTTTCAGTTGTAGCCAGCAGGACAGTGYTAGTCCTGTTGAGCTGGTTTTCGCTCACACTTGAGGGAGGAGTTAGTGAGTGAAGCTGCTTGGCTGGAAGTTCAACACCTTCAGCTTTCCCAGCTGAAACTGCCAGGAGAGGTGAGACAGAGCAGGTGGGGATCCTGGTCACATTGAGGGGGATTATATACACAAGGAGAAGAAGGAACTACTGATAAAAGCAGAACACAGAGGGAATTTGATTCTTTGAACWGATACTGAGTCTATCCAAGTACATCTGGAAGTCCAAATGATTTTTGAACAAATTTACTTGTTCTTTAGCTGCCAGCTCTACACAGATTAACTTCCAAGTGTGTTCCATTTGTGTAAAAACCACATCTGAATGGCCYAGCCACTCGCAAAGCAAAGCTTTTGTAGAGCAAGTAAATATTCCAGAATACAATTTTCCACWGAAATTTGGCAACTAAAGAAAATATTTTAATGCTCTCACCCAACTGTCTGGATTTTTTTTCACTCATAACTGTAGTTACAGATCCATCACACAGAAGACAAAGACTTTAACTCATGCCACCCTCTGTAATGTCCRTGCACTCTGAAATAAATTTTATACTTTATCAGATATAACTTTCATGCCACAGAGCACTTCATTATCTTGTAATACCTTGTACCTTATTGCTACTCCAGTAAGAGTAGAATTAGCAGTATATCAACAGAGAAGGGACAAAGCCCTATTGATCTGCTTGAAAAATCACTTTTTTCTTTTCCATTAAGAAATGTATTTGGCTCCCTTCAAATCATCTGTAAGCCTAGGAAAAAAAAAAACACAGAAGAAAACAAAACCCCAACACCACAASCGAACATAAGTAAGAAGGTGATATTGAAACAAAAGACTGAAATTAAAATCATTATTTATGGGTAAAAATACTGGCCACTGTTCTCCTATCTATCCCCTAATCAATGGTGGGGATAGATGAAGCTGAGATAGTCCTGTGATTTAAGGGAGTGTGAGGTTTGGTAAAGAATGCATGGGCTCTCAAGGAAGCCAGCTGTTTCCAGAATTTGCAGGAAAGCTCTGGCATTAATACATTTGACAGAAGCATGTGCCAGGTAGATCCCAAGGCTGCTGAAGGAACACTGAGGCCGAGACAGTGGAAAGGCTGAGCAAGGCACTACAGCCATGACTGCAGCTCCAGCTATGAACCCACACAGAAAAGGTGTTTTGCTGGCCTGAGGACTGGCTCCTGTTCCTCCTGGCCTTGAAAGAAGGRCTTAACATGTTAATGCTTTGGAATGTTCAGCTCTGAGACTCCATCCCAACAGCTGAAATAACAYGTATGTGTCAAATCAGTATGGACTGCCACTGTCTGAGACCAACAATATGTGGGGTGTACAGGTCAGGGTTTCAGTATGAGAACCTACAAAAAGCATTTCTGTGAAAGTTAGAGAGAAAAGGACACTGAAAACTCCAGTGTCTTCTGGAGGTAACTGTGAGATATTTAAATTTAGGTTCAGTTACTAAAGTGTGAAAGCATTTTGTTCCATCTCCAAAGCAAATCTTATGTACCACAGCAGAGGCATTTTGGGGTCTCCATGGTACCGAAAGATACAGCTCTGTTTAAGACAGGCTTGAAAGTCCTGAGAGGTGTTGACAGTTTATTACACCTTTATGTGATGGGGATCAATCCATTTGCAACAGCAATAAAAACAATTCTATCACAGCTCTTCCTTTCAGTTCTTGTCATTATCCAGTGCTTGTTCCAGCTTCAGAAATTGGATTACTTCAGGGCTTTTAGTGTCAGCACGGCATACAAGGACAACTGCCATGTTCCCACCTCCCACAATTGTTACTGGCTTGTTTAATTTTATCTTAAACAACTRCCACTGTGATCAAATCCATCAGCACTTGAGTTCACCAATTAGCACAAAGTTAATGAACAAACAAGTAATASGTACCTGGCAGGAAAAGGCTAGTAATCCCTTATAAAGCAAAATGACACATCTGCCCACGTTTTATCTGCACACTGGACAAATTAGGTTTACAGAAACAATTGCCAAAATGTTTCAAAAGCACTCCAATTCACCATATTACAGATTCTTTTGTGCGTCTTCTCTATTTATRCTTCTGGTCCTGAAGTCAGAGAAGTCCTGTCTTTATTTTTAAAAAAATGGGGGGCAAAATAAAGTTTGGCTTCATAGCACTATAAAAGGCTTTTTTTTTTTGTCTTCAGTGAAGTTCATTCATTCTGGAATAAATACGTGTTCAACGCGGGGGATATTCTTCTGATTATGGGATGCAATACACAAGTAAACAAGGAAGAGGAGACACAGCAGTGCTGTAGCTGTGAGGAAGATGAGGAGTCCAGCAAACAGAGAAGGTTTCAGAGGTAACTGGATCAGCTTGCCTTCTGCTGGAATCATGTTTGTGAGGCTTAACATGTAACCGAGTGACCAYGCTATACTGCTGTTACCAACCTGAAATAAAGACAGAAGAATCCTATTCCCATGGAATTTTCAGTCAAAGAGGAGCGGTTCCAAAAGCTAAACTGCTTTTACTGTTACACTGTCCTTGTAAATTAGCAAGGAGAAATCTTTAGTGGAACATGCAAAGAAGATACAGAACTATTTTAAATTACCCTTTTTCTGTAGTTCCAGAGGATGGTAATAAAATTGGTCACTGGGCTCACTGGGCTAAAGAGGTGAGTCACAAGTATTGGATGGATACAAAGATGTGTGGTCTATATGCAGTCAGGCAGTTATGAGATTTTCTGTGCAAGAGACACATTTTAAACAAACAAAAAAMCCCATCACTGCTGTGCCAGTTCCTAAATTAGCCCCTCACCTTAGCCAAATCCTAGGATGTAATTTTGTTCAAGCAAACAAAAAAAACCCACAAAGAGTCTGACCAGCATGGACAAAAAGGAAGCCAGGGTGAAGTCCCCAAAGCAGAAACTCTGTGTGTCATCTTTTGTTCCATTATTGGTKTCGTGCCTGCAAATGAGCCAAAACTAGGCTCTTCCATTTAAAAAATAAACATAAGTGAAAAACTACTTCAAAACAGGTGAAACAACAGCAAAGGGAATATATTTGTATTTGCTCCATGGTCCTGCTTTTCTGTCTTTTCCCACTTTTAGTTTGAGCAACAGTTTCCCAATTTTCCACTGTCCTTTTCATGAAGTCATCATCCTGGCACTTGATAAGCACAGGATCAAAGGATAAAGTGTCCTTTGTCCTTCTGCCATCACAAGGTTTAAAACTTCTAATTTTTGCAAATCATCTAGCTCTGATTCAAGCCCAGATCTTAGCATTAGGCCAAGGTTCTTTTCATTGGTTGTGTTCACTAATTAAAAGGAAATACATACTCCTAGCATAGACAAAAAACCCACCCTCCAGTCATAGTGAGATTGTGCTGTTATCTCTGGGGTAGTTTAGCTGATCAGCCAACATTAGATCTTGCTATTTTAGCATGGGGAGATCTAATTAAGAGAATGTAGTTTTGCCTTTTGGAGTTTCRTGATTACCCTAGTGTAAAATCTAGGCAACAAAGGTATTCATTTTAAATAAGTCTTTTGGGGTTTTATTTTGCTCACTATTTTTATAGTCTTGGCTAAATACAGAAAAAATGTTGCTGTTTCTGGCTGCTCCTTTCTGCTGGGGACAATATAATATATATTTAAMTATCAAGACAAATCCATCCCCCACCCCCCCTGCCCAGTCCAGATTAAGATCTCAAAGTAAGCTCGATGCTGTTTTCCTGGTGGAACAGCTAAACTTTGGATGTTTCTCCAGAGCTGCTAATGGTTGTCCACCAGAGGTCAAAACAAGGCAAGAAAATCCTAYTTGATTCCTTACTGCATGAGTAATAGGTATGATTGCACTGAAAAAAATTGCTTTTGATTCCTCATTCACAGCTTGCCAACATCCCCTGCATCTAAGGGGATTTAAGGATACACCATGAAGATCTACAGCCTATTCTTTTGCTGGTTTTGCATGCAAGTGCAGAAGCATTTCCAAACTATATGGACATTATGAGACACTCTGGAATAGAGTTTTAAAATAAGGCTTTATGCAGTAGCAGAGAAAAAGAGAAATGCATTTATCACACAGATACTKTGAGCCTTCTCTCTCTGTCAACTGAAAAGCAATACCCCATCAAAATCCATTCTTATTCCAGAGAACAGATTATGGCACAGATGGATGAACTRAGTGAGGATGAAAACTGTCCTAGTTGCTTCATCACCACGCACTGAATACAAACTGCTTTGCCAGTTCCCCAACACTCTGCCAGCAGTGAGAAAAGCAGAGTTCTGCTGTCCAGYTCAGCAGGGTTAGCTCAAACTGACCTTGACTGGTGAGGTGTTTTAGGCAGATCACTGCCTAGAGCAAAATACTGGGTAAATGTTTGAGAAACAAGTATTTGATCTTTGCTTAAAGCTCTGGAAAAGAATCTGTGTAGCATCTCCAAGTAATGCTGTGATCCCTGAAACCAGGCTGAGATTGTTACTGAGGTTTGAAAAGTAGCTTTGTTTTATGCCAAACATTTGACAGACATTTACAAAGGCTATTTACAACCAATCTAGTTTTGCTGCTGCTGCATCTTCTGTCTCCTTCTCCATCTCTTTGGATTAAAATAACAGTAAGAGAAAATTATYATTACTCACCTCCTTTTGAAAATGTATCCTTGGCCAGGTTTCTGCATTGAAGTTGTAACCATGTACAAGCAAGTAATAAATGAAATTGGCTGAGAAACAGTAGGATCTAGCATATGTTTCTTCAAATTTAGGCAGCATAAACTGGAGCTGAAAGCAAAAGGTTGGGTTTTTTTTTAAAAAACATGTTAACGATGGAAAAAAATGCTTTGGGGTTTTGTAACTAGAGAATATTTGGATTCTAATTACAATTTAGTAAGACTTTTCAGAAACACCAAATAAAGGTACAGACAACTAGATACAGGGACTCAGTAAAAGAAAGACTAAAAGTGACAAGTGAGTTTATGGGGTGAACAATTAAAATAAATATAAAACTGCACACTGAAGATTGAGGATGTTATAGTTTCTAAAATTTCCATGTCATTTCTACAGCATGGTTAGAACTGTGAAATGAAATTTCAAAACCTGTTCCTAGTGTTAAGCATGGTAGAAATACTACATGCTTTGAAGCACAGTGGAAAAACAAATGCTAGATTGATACAGACTTTTTTAAAGGTTCTGAACACATAGCCAGTCCATATTATTTTTATATCCCTCTTTTAGAGATTTTAAATAGAAAAAAAAACCCAATAACCCCCAAAAACCAAACAAACAAACAACCCACTTACCTGTGCCCAGCTCTGTGAACAGAAAAACCACATACTTGAATTGAAGTCATCAAGGGAAAAGTGCCCAGATAAATTCAAAGCATTGATTGTGTAGTAGAATCCAGAGAAAGCCTATAGAAAAGGAGTAGATGACAGGTTACTTTCAGAACTACAGAAATCAAAAGCAAGCAAGCTCAAAAAGAAACACCCTGTGTTTGCAAACGTACCACAAAATTCCCTTTAGCTTTYGGCTGATGGWTTCCATTAAATGGACAGTCCTCTCKGTCTCTGCAAGCAGTGAAGTTGAACAATAAAGAAACCATCTCCTGGCACAGACCTGGGTCTCCTGTTCCATGGAAATTCACAAGCTGGTTTGGGTAGTAATTTGCTGGTCTCAGAGAGTGTGTGCAAAGGCTGCCAAAGAAGTACTTCATCGTTAATGCTGTATTATAATTCTGAGGGTAACAGGGATTATCCACATTGGCACTGCCATTTGAYTTCTGGGGGGAAAAAGAAACAAACAAAAACAAACAARAAACCCCAAACAATAAATACTAGTCAAAAGCAAGAAAATCCTAGTTTGGCATTAACTACAGGAACCATTTAAACTGCAGATGCATGTRTTTTTGTTCACTGACATGACTGGTCAGCACAATGGCTGTTGATCATTCTGTTTCATAGAATTGTAGAATGATTTCTCCAGAAATCATTGACAAGATCAGCAAAACACTTACAAGGCCTTTTTGTCAAATGGTACAGAGCTCTCACTAGTTTTTCACAAACATGAAGTTGTTTGTACGAAACCTAAGTGTGCTTGTCCACCACAAAGCACAATTGAGCTCTTACTGGGGTCCCCAAACTCCACTGAAGGGAGGAGAACACAAACATAAGAACCTGCTCAGACAATTACTGAACACTTGCAAAAGCAGCAGAGCAAAAGGTCTTAAACAGACCTGGAGCAGCAATGCCAAAAGCCTTTTCTCAGCTTCATCTCTCCCGTAGCACTGATAGCTGTGAGTGTAGACATTGTAGTTGTAACCATACAACTTCACTTGCAAGGTGCTATTGAAGTGCTCCTCAGACTCCTCGGGGATAAATGAAATTTGAGTGGAAGCTCCTCCAAGGTCCAGTGCACCCATAGTGTCTTTTCTGTAAGGATGGACCCATGTCCTCCAAAGGTTTCTCTACATGTAAAATTAAAAACAAGGCACATTAGAAGTATCATCTGCTTGTTCCCCCTCAAGCTTTTCTAGTCTTTACTTCCTGAGACTTTCCCCCCTTCTTTGTCCTGCACTCTTCCAAAAAAAAAAAAATAGCTCTTGAGAAAACATGCAGATGTTTTTACATAAGAGGGATGTACTTTCAGAGAATGAAATGATCTAGGAAGATGGGAAAACGAATGCAGCATAGCATTCAAGTCAATAGGACAGCACAATGATCAAAGCATAGGACTAGCCAGATCAATGCATATCCTAGAATGTAAGGAACAGAAGTTCAGATATCCATGAGAACCTGAACAAATCTGGATGGAAATGGTATCAAGATTAGCTGGTTTCAAGGCAAGAAGAAATATTAAAGGAATGGAATATTAAGAGATGACTGAGACAGAGAGAGAAAAGAGAGTGAAAATGGAGTGAAAAATGCAGAAAAGTCAGATGAGAGCTCCATCAAAGTCAAAAGAACAAGGACCCCTAATCTGCACATTTCCTTTGCTGAAACTGCAGTGGCAATAAATCTTATCCATTCAGATGGCATTGTTCATTATTACCCAAAATATGCCCCAAATTCTGTATTTGATCTACATGGCCATAGTGCTAAATACAGATTTTCTATGATTATCTATGTCAGTATTTACAGTAGTGTTGCCCACAGAGCAGGATGAGATGAATGTATACACAAGAATGGAAACAAAACTTTATGGGCTAGCAAATATATTCACAATAAAATTTTACAGTGAAAGATCCCCATAAACAAGCCCTTGCAGAATTTGATTCTTAGCCCGTTGTCACAAGAAAGGTCAGAATTTATCTCTTCTATGAGTGATATTCCACATGTAGCTATTCATACAACTCTAGACTAAACTGGCTTTACAGCATCTTGCAGTCCATTCCTTATGAATTTGCCATATGGAATTCAATGTCTGGATTATTAAAATTCACGTGGTAGAAGACGGACACCASCCTGAGGCTGCTGATGCCATTTTTGTGGCACTCAACAAGAAAARCTCCTACAGAATGGGTGATTCCAATACTGGTTTTTTTAATGCTGCAAGTCAGCAACACATTCACCGTGAGCTGCCACTCACAGCACCAACAAGTAATTCCTTCTTATTTAATGGCCATGGTCTGATAGGAGCCATTCAGCCAGGATAGCTGGCAATACTCAGCARTATTGGTTGAAATTTCTTTCAGCCTAGCGAGGGAATCTGGCAGGAATGCATTTAATGCTAAGGGCAGCATGCTGTTGCCATAACGCAGATGAGTGATTGCTGATCATCTTGGTACAGCTTTTACTCTGAATTAAATGACACTGAATAGTTGTACCCAAAAAGGGTTCTTCCAATAATCTGACTCCCTCTCCGCTATGAGGCTCCTGCCTGACCCTATTCCAAGTTCGAGAACAGCATAACCATGTTTATATTGGTGTCACTTGGTCTTCACAAGACAGTTGGTATCACAGCCTACTGCTCACAGCCCACAGCTTTTCAGCAGTCTTGCAATGAGCTGTGCGTGAATGATTTCTGGCTCAGCTGAGGCACATTTGACCACCTTCAGCGCTACAGTCGTGTCTGCTTAAGACAAGTGAGCCAACACTGCCAAACAATTTGGAGTGTTGTGCAGGTCCTTCACCAGTAGGGCTGCAGGGACAGCAGATAAGCAGAAAAAAAGCATCTTTAGTTGGCACTGCTGTCAAGACAATCAACACTCATCACACTTAACATACCAGTGCATTTAAGAGCAATCTAACTTTTTGTTTCTGGGTAAGGCATCCAATGTCATTTAAAAAAGAGCCCTTTTTTGTGGATCAGCAGTTTTACCTTTGTCATATCGGATTCCCATAACAACATATTCTTTGATTTTTGTTTGTCCTATTACTGCCACAAAAGGACCCTGTTAGAGATTTCAGTGGAAAAGTTGCTACTCTGACACTTCAACAGGCATGTCCTCTCAAACTTCTCATTTTTAAGAGAAATAGTGAAAAGAAAAGCATGCAGTTTTTTCCACACACCTCTAAGAAATTGCCCATTAAATAGTTGGCCGTTATCCATCCATACACCCCTTCCTCWGGCCCAGTTATGATCTGCGCACCCCTAAATTCAAAAGGTTGTGCTCTGAAGTAGTTTTGAATGCTTGCAAGGACTTCATTGGCTGCCGATTCATTTTGCAACCTAAGCAATTCACAAAACATGAGACACTGAGCATCTGGAAAGGCAATTTCATGTTTATTGTTCACTGACTAGCAATTCAAGAAAACTCCTACAATCACCTAATAAATAAAATAGACATTGTTTCCCTGAAGGGGAAGCTTATGATAGGGAACAGCCAGTACCCAGCATTGCTTCAGCAATGTACCAGCTTCACTCTTTATCATGCAAGTTCATGGGTGGGTTTTGTTTCTCATTATATATACCTTTACTCTTTATGAACCGAGTGTTTATATGACAGCTGGTTAAAAYAGTGCTGGAATCTCTCTTTCAACTCTGTTTAGCCACAGAACAAATACAAAAAGCCAGTTTGTGCCAGGGCTAAAGCCACAGACAGACCCCAAAACTGTATCACCTCACATCCACACTCAGAATTCAGTGTTTAGTTACATTCTGCCTTTGCTGCTCATAGATGTGCACAAACATTATAAACATTATCTGTTTACATAACACTGTATTTCAAGACAGATGTGAAAGAGAAAATTAAACTCTTGCCTTCTCTGAAATAAAGCAACCATTTCTTTTCAATACGGCATAATAGAGGGGTTTTATGCAGATGTTCTTTCCCTATCAGWAAAGTAAATTAAATTAAATTGGCTGGGCTCCATTTTCTTTTGAGATGGCCAATTTCCAGTGGGTAAAAATGCATCCAATACATTTCTCACATTCTGCTTTCACAGAATGCTATGCTAGTTTGCATACAGAGTAGTTYGAGTTTCTTCCATACCTCAGCAGTCTCATGCCAGCTGTAGCCCCCAGATAAACAGAAGTGTTTTTATGCAGATGAACTGGTATTCTCTCCTTGACTTTATTCAGACAGTCATCAAGAGGCTTGGCAAGAGCTTCAGGGCTACTCCCATAGCTGGATATACCAGGGCCTAAAAGAGAGCAAGGAGATAGATTTTATTCTGCTTTGCCAACTACAAATTAGCCCAATTAGCAAACAGGTGTTAAGAGAAAGACATTTTCCCCCTTCCCTCCTGTAATTGCAAACACGCGTTGGTTGGCTGAAAACTAGGAGTGGTTATGGAATTATTCATGAGGAAAGTAACTATACTCTTGACAGATGCTGTTCAAAATAGCATATCTGCTGGGTGTCAAATTTGTCTGATCTGCCCAAGTATAGAAAATCCCTCCTTCCACAGCCTAAGACAAAGATTTTCAAATCTTGTTTGCCCCAGCTATTGTGGACACCATGACACCCCTACAGCTCACTGCTCTCAACTGGATGTAGAATAAAGGAGCTTTTGCAAGGAATTGCTGGTGAAATTCCAAGATGCACAGAAATGGCTCCTGAATTCATTGAGATGCAAGTCTGTTCTGGTGCATGACTACTAAACAGCTTTCCAAATTTCCAAAGCCTTCAAAGAGCAGGAATGAGAGTTACACCATGCTGCATAAAGTATAGCTATTTGAACAATTAACATCAAAGTCTTTCCTGTCTTGCTCGACACTCCAAGGGACCATGAGGATCTCAACTTGTTCAGGCTCAACTTGGGTGTAAATAAAACATTCCTTACTAAAATTTCCTTGCTGAGGAAGTTGCACAGAGAGAAATCCAGTCACTCCCACTGCCTTGCAGGGAATAACTGCCATAACTCCCATCTACTTCTATATCAGCCATGTCTTGCACAACCTGGAYCCAAGCTAAGCAAAAGGTGGCTTTTACCAAGTTGAAATGAAAAACCATTTATGTTCAGTCACATTGCATTGATATAAACAGAAGAAAAAAACTGTGAGCCTTTACAGATTCCACTCTCCAAAACTCCTGTTTTTGACATTGCGAACTTAAACATAAACACTTCCATGTCATCATTAGACGTTTACAGTCCTGGTTTTGGAATAAGACTTTCTGAAAGTCTTAAGTCCAGCACAAACAGGCCTGAAGCTGGAAGGAAAAACAGAGAAAAACAGAGCAGCAACATCCTCAGCAGCTGCCACTGCCTCACACTTCTGTGGTGGCTGCAACTTCCCATCTTCCAGTGTTCAGACTGAGCAGGTCACAAGGCAATGACCATTTTCTTCTCAACAGCTGCCTGTCTAAGCCAATGCTTAGAGCCTTACCAGGACAGAATACCGCACTATGAAGAAAGGATTTTTATTTGGGGCCGGTTCCTACACACAGGGGAAGAGGTACTTAATAAAGGCAGAAATGAAATCATAAAAACACCACAGAACTCACAGAGTAGTTGATCATTTGACCTTCRAGTTCAGCAGGCATGCAAAAATCTGCCTCTCATCATGCCCAGAACCCCARTTTAAGTGCTTAAGACTATGGTTAGAGGGTCATTAAAGAAACACTGACAGACATGTTCACCACTGCCACCCACAGCGCAGCTGGGGACATCTCCCATGAACCAGCCCTCTGTCTCCTCCAGTGCAGTTATCCAAGACTAGAAGAGTGAACCCTGGTGACTTTGTGGGATGACAAGGATGAGGAGTACTTGGCTGGCCATGGTTAAGGCCATGGACCCAGACAGCTCACAACAATCTGGACTCCTCTGTTTTGTAATTTATTTGTATTCCCCAGGGGTAAAACAAAATCTAAACCAATTAAGGCAAAATCACAAAGCGCTCCTGTCTTCTTTGAGAAGAAGAATAATGCAGTTTCTCTGTGTGTTTTTCTCACACCAGAATTCCTAAAGGCAACATTCCTAATGAGTCAAGACATGAGTTAGCAGAGTGTACCCCTCACTTCAGCAGGCTGGCCACCATCCCAGCAGTTTGTAAGGACATTATGTCATTAGAGATATGACAATGCATTACTTCTGTTTGTGTTACACTTGCTTTCCTTTTCTTTCCTAGAATTGCTAAGAATGTCCACACGTATGTTTAAAACTGAAGATAGAAATGCTGGTGCTGTTAAGAAACCATTGCCTTCTACTCGTAGTTTACTCATGGGCCTCTGTGGATACAACTGCAGCATCTTTTTGCAGAATAAAGAGGGAAACAAGACTTTGCGAGATCATGACTGAGAGTGAAGGAAATATTCTCTTTGAACACTACATTTATTAACAGAGAACAAAAAAAAATGATTTCCCTCCTCTGCCTGGCCACCTGTCTTCACAAAATGTGTGGCTTTTTCATATCTTTGAAGGCTGATGTCACTGAAGTTGACTAAGAGTTTCTGTGAAGGATTCCACAACCAGCCATTAGAAATCAGACTCAACCATACTGCAGTGTGATCAAAAGCCAGCCTAGTCTGTCTGTGAGGAATCAATTCAAAACCTCAGACAAAAGACAGTGGTACCTGTGGGGCACCTTCTAACAGGGCACAGACAWGGCTCTTCCCAAGACAAAGGCCACACCTACATATTTGATAAAACTATGACACCCTGTTAGAAATAGTTTTGCCAATTTAATGATTTTACTTGATAATTTCATTCACTGCTTCCTAGTTTTTTAGTGTGGRGAAGTTAATTTACAACTAAAATCTAACACAGGCTAGAATCCAATTCTTTTAAAACTCTTTTTATTCCAAGCTATTTTAACATATATATTTGACTTTTATTTTGAAAGAAACATAAGGACTAAACATTTGCAGGTCCTKACTCTCTTTAGATTGAGTTCTGTCTGCACCAATCATGCACTACCATGGAGTAAATCAAATTTAGCTACAATTTCCTCTCTCTGGTGCAATGATAGGAGCACCTTACTKCATCAGTAGAAAAAGAACTAATGATGACAGATACAGACATCGTCTTGACAGTTYTCCCTCCCCAATACTGAAAATGGAACACACTGGGAAAAGAAAAAACACACTACAAGCAAGGTTAGAAATAAATAAGAAACTTTTCTTTGAGCTCACCTTTCACATTGCACTTGAAGGTTTGGCTCACTACTCCCGTGTTGTTTTCTTTTTCTGCTGGCCACTCATAGACATAGACCGTAGTCCGAGAGGATCCAGCATCAAGGACTATTCCATACTGGGGATTAAAAAAGAATACATTWGATGAAGAAACAAACAATGACAGCTTAAATACCCATATGCAGCTGCACTTGACTGCCCCACCAGACATTCACAAAATGCATGCACACTGTATTATTTACAAGAGAGATTAATTCTAGTGTTAGGCGCTTAGGCATGAATCCAACCGCCAAGCACAGAATGAATCTGGCTGCAAACCAAGGAACATACTACATATCTTCAATAATTAATTCAGTGGGGATGGAGAATGCTCATCTCCTTTCAGCATCAGGCTCAAAATCCACACTGACAAATAGATAACACTGTGTTAGGACCTGATTTTGCAGCAAGTTCATTTCCCTTTATCCCAGTCCACTCCCTGAACACTGAAGGGTTTGATATCTAAGCACAGGCTTTAGATTCAAGGATGCACAAGGGATCCATAAAGCCGTGAGCAAAGAGGTAAAGTACATAATAGTCGACACTAAGAATGATGTAACAAGTCTGGYTCTTTCCTAATTGCCCCATAAACCTCTCCCTTTGAGTGGTTTAGGCAGTCCAGCTGAAAGCTTGCCTCAGAACAAGCTGTGCCAGAGTATGAGACAACAGAGGGAAAGAGAATCACTATTACTCCATGATTATTCATGAAATAAATGAGAGAGATTTAAATTATTTGCCCCGGGTCCCTTGGACTCTTTGTGGGATTAAAGCACAGGTTTCTCCATCCCATTCCACTGCTCACCAGACCACTCTTTTCCCCTTTCCCATATTATGTGGCAGCAGAAAACKGTAGTAACTGGGAAGGCAGCCTCATGAAGGGAAGCAAACTGTAATTTTGGTATCCTCTTTATGATCCCTGAAAGTATGTTTTGCTSTCCCAAAGTCACCTGATTGGTAGCAGTCACACAGTAAAAGGTTTGGTTTTCTGTCAGCTTTTTTTTCTTTTGAAACAGACATATGCCCAGGAACCTGTCAATACTGAAAAATYGAGATGGAGCTTCCATCTGTCTCAAAAGCAGTGAGACCCCTTGTAGCAAGCTGATAAATTTCGTACCACTGCCTCCCTGGGGACCAACAAGTCCGACTGGGAAGGATCACTGCTTCAGGTGGTGAACCATTCAGCCTCCACACCTGATTAGTTCTCATCTTCTACTGTAATCCTAAAAACTCTTGGCCTCCAAAGAGTACCAGTAATACCAGTCTAGTYTGTTTCACAGAGGACTGTTAGATAATGAAAATTTCATTTATGTTTATACAAACAATATTTACCCTGATCCACTACAAGATTAAAGGCTCCACAGATATTATCAAACCACTACATCTTCAGGTTCTGTTTCAGTAACTACTTTAGCAAAGACAATTTGAGTCTATTTCCTCTCCTTGGAAGAGATGAGCRCTCTGGAGGTCCATTACACAGTAATGGCCAATCTGCTTAAGGACTGCTGATTAAATCTAGTGTCGGTCAGCTTAAAAGTGCCAACCATAAGTTGGCACTTAACTTGGCTACTTTTAGAGCTAACTATMATGCCCAAGGAGAGCTGGAAGAGAATGGAAGTATTTTTACCTCAGTTAATTGTAGGCTTTTTTACCCTCTTTCTCCATACACTGTATTTCTCAGCCTCCTTCTCAAAGTAAGAGATTTTCATCCCAAAGAGCAGTGGTACACTTATCTGAAACAATGCGTGACTGACAATTTTATTTTCTTTCTTCTCCTCCTCCTCCTCTATTTTTACTATACAGCATTTTGCTTCCTTTAAAAGAGATGTTCATTTTTGAAAAGGTCTCTTGGGCCCATTTTGGAGTGACTCTTGAAGCTCCTCAGGACTTGTGTGAGTTCACTGCAAAATGGTCCATGCAGCCTCAAGAAGTGGTGGTCAGTGACAACTGTTCCACATGTTAGGACTAAGATTAATCTTTAATTTAAAAACACCAGAAATGACAGAGGGTGCTGCATCTTAAGAAGGTGAGAGAATTCTACATGCCTTGTCTTAGTGGACTGCCAAACTGGCTGGATTAAAATTTTCCAGGGGCATTAGATTTCTGCCCAATTGCAAGTTGGATCACCTTTGCTCGCCCTATAAGGACAGCCAATGCCTTCCCGCTTTGAAATGCACCATGTGGGACTGAGAGCACATGCAAACCCTTATCCTGGGCTAGCAGCTGTTGAAGAACAGAACTACTTTCCTTCTCCCTTCTGTCCTTTTTACTTCAATTTCCTCACGGAATATTTCCATCATCTCAAAGGCTTGGTGGTACCTTAACACCCAAGAACTGCACCAACTGCTCAATGGACTAGGTTAGTCAGACAAGACAGGGAGACAACATTAAACCAGAAAAGCTTCAGAGTTCTGTTTTCTAGTACAGTAGAAGGAAGAAAAGAAGAAAGGGGAGAAGCAAAGCAATTTTAAGAAAAATGCTTTTTATGAGAATATGATTTTGCAGGTATATCCTGAAGAGTAGGAATCCCAACAGATAGGCATGCACAAGCCCCAGGATTTAATCATCTTTTCAACTTGAGTGTCATTCCTATAGGAGGACATAGAGATGCACAGACCCTTAAAGCAGGCACAGTTATGATGGGTCACCTGCCTTCCAATCACTTTGGAAACTGCCAAGAGGAGTTAGCAGGATAAACCAGTTACAGGGAAGGTGGAGGCCACAAAAGCAGATCTATGCTAGAAGCACACTTCAATTCAGCTACGTAGGTTTGAATAACTTTTAATCAAGTATAACAGCCACAAGCAAGGCAAAACACTTCCCAAGAGCTAAAAGAGACATGCAAAATTAAGGTGATGAAAACTGTGGCACCTCTAGAGGCAAATTAAAGAAATACAATAATGAAGTGGAGATTTTTTTCTCTAGGGCTCAYAAAACAGCATTAGACAAACAGAATTATTTTTCTTACTGGAACAAAGGCTCATTACGTTCACAGCTATCATCATTTACAATTGCACACTTCACCACTGAGGATGTTTGTGCTCTCTTCATCACTCTTCTTGCTTCACAGTATGTAYCAGCAAGTCATGAGTTCTTTCAGTGCCCCAGACTCATGCAATGGACAGTCTTTCTTCACTAATCAGTGTCTCAATCTTCAGATAATCCAACCATCAAGGATCCAAAATATTCAATTTTGCAACAACAGTTTAAGACATCAGTGGCATAGCATACATATAATTTCTGTCTGTGCCACAATGGACACTCTCAACGTACATCTTGGGAAAGAGCTCCTATGSCACAGGTAACACCAACAGTAACAGAAGAACAAGGCCATTTACAAAGAGTAAGTCTGCTTTCATCATGCTGTTGCCATATTTAATTTTAGTCAACCATTAAGTTTAAGACGCTGTCATTTCCAGGCTCCATTGTATCAGCCAGGTACTGGAGGGTTTCACTTCTACCTCCTTCTACCTGTGAATTTCTTGTGAGTGTTAATCACTCACTGAGGACAACTCAGTGTCTCAAGACTCAAACACAGGGTCCTCCACATCACCTCCACTGGCAGGCTTACAGCCCAAACTCAAATCCACAGCCAAGGCACACATAGCAGAGTGAAAACCAGCCTTCCTACAGAGTCAGCCATGAAGCTGCTGGGATTCAGTAAGCAAACCTCCCCACTTAAACCAGCTCTAGATAGTCTGGGTGGTTCCAATGCTTTCTCAAGGAGTAAGATAAATAGTTTCATCATTCTGAACGTGAAACTGAATTAATAACAAACACAAAAGGTGTGTAGGCTGTCCTTTAGGTAGTGGCTTCAGCCTCGGCCTGGCTTCAGCTGGGGTACATGTCACTCCAGTCTTGCTTTGCATGAAAATCAGTGGGATGTGAGGGTGCTGCAAGCAGCAGGYTGGAGCTCAACAGAGCATTTATTTGAAGTACTATGTCCCAGTGCAAGATCCCAGCACACACACCCTGCCACATCACACAAAATGGGTATCAGAATATGGTTGTAGCCCATTGTCTGACTCATACACCCCCAAATGATTCAGACAAAGCCAAAGGTGTTTATAATCCCTTGAAGTGCAATGAGGCGTTAGCCTTTCATTACCAGTATGTGAACTGTCCAGATAAACACGCATGCAGATAGAAAGGCAGAAGGGACTTCAAAGAGGATTGGGGGGAAAACCAATTCAGCATGCCAGACTGCACAGCTTCTCTAGAAGGGTAATTTCCACAGCTTTTCCTCAGCTGTGTATGTCTCTTATGGAAGAACCTGCATACATGTTCCAGCAGCATGAAGCAGAGGCTGAACTTCGGAGTATTTCAGTTTGTCTTTTGCAGTTTGCTCTGCCCCCCTTAATGAAGTTTGCTCCTSTTAATATCCAGCAAGTCCCAACATGTGGCAAAGGATCAAGTGCATRCCTAGAGCCCAAATGCTTTTGACATTAGGAGCAAATTGCAAAGATGTCAGCTTTAACTTCCCAGCTCTGCTTGGGGGCAGAATTTAAACTCTGGGCATTTCCCACTTCAAAATTATTTAAAATTACTTCCAGTCTCTGGCAAAAAAAAAAAAAAAAAAAAARGAGWGAAATATTCTTCCCATTTGGCTTTTCAGTTCTGAAGATGTTGTGTGATGGCCATCACAGAGAAGGAATCAGAGAATGCTTTTCCTGCTTTTCCACTGACTCTTGACCCATTCTCATTTTCTCTCAGGTTCAGTTTTACCATGATGATGTGATTAAACATTAATTTATGGCTGTAAGCTCATTTGAATCACCCCATAAAAATGAATTTAGAAAAGCATGTTATTAAATATCAGTTCAAAGCATTGTTCTCCTTCCTGAGGTATCCTAAGACTTACCTTAAGTCCTGGGGAGAGGACCTGCTGCTGATTTATCTGTATCACTGCAATAGCAATAACAAGAACTATACTTAGAAGAAGGAACACTTGGGCRACAACACTTGGGGTTCTGGTGAGCATCCTGAAACAAAAGAACGGGAAACACTTCAGGAATTTGAAAGCATTCAGTGATTCTGTCTTAAAGCCTGGAACCCTGATTCAGCTGAAACTCATAAAATGTCATTTCATCAACTAGATTACATCGAGTGGCAATTTCATCTTCTCCTCAAGAGCTGCCTGGTGTTTTGCAACCACTAAGTTCTCATTGTCTGTAAGGGCTGTGTCTATATTGTCATGCTAACAACGCTAGATTTTACCCTCAGCCTGCTTGTTTTCCAMGCTGCCTACGTGTAGGTGCCTGCTCAGCACCTTCCACACCCGAGGAAAGGCATGCTGTGGGCAGGCAGGACGGGCTGGGGCTCACCCTACACTCCCATGTGCTCCTACAGCACAGACACAACCATGGCCACACAGACACCTGAGGGATGTTTGTGCCAGAGATGCAAGGTGGGTGTCTACAAGAGATACAGGCTTCTTCAGAAAAAAAATAAAACCCAAACAAGGAGGTTTTAAGAACATTAAAGTAGGTGTCTTTCTACTAACTGCTGATGAAATGTGTGTGTGTGCTTATTAATGAGGAGCCTATTATTGTCACTCTGCACTGCACATAAAATATAAAATGGTTTAACTCAAGAGATTTTGAGATAAAAAGTTACCGAATCTAAGTAAATCTGACATGGTTATGTTGGAAAAACCCCAAGGTGACATGAAACACACATGCTAACAATAAGGCTATTTATATGTTCATATCCTCTAGGAAAGTTTCCTAGAATTCAAATGTTGTTTAGGTTTCCTGTAATTTCTGCTCATCCGCTATTTTAACATGTCTCTGACCAGACATCTCTTAATCCCAAGAGGCCATTCAGTACCTCTGAATACTGACAATCCACCTATCAAAAACCCTTATGCGCCCCAGGGGGGGTTAAGGAGAAAAGATGCAGCTGGTGGGAGATGGCAAGCTTAGAAGTGTCAGAGGAGCACAACAAGGAGAACCTTCCTGCCTTTCTTATTTTTGAAACCACTTGTTTTGGCATAGAAAAATTAACTTAGCCTGGCGTGATCTGTCCTGAGTCACATCTCCAAATTCTTCCGTCCTGATGGTGGAACACAGCAGTGGCTGTTCAGGACTGTCCTGTGATTTCAGCAACCACCAGTGCCAACCTATGCTGAGGACAGGAGCTTAAAGGTGGCCTACAGTCCATGGCCTGAGCACAACTGGGTCAGCCCCACTGCACCTGCAACACATGGTCTTGTCCTCAGCTCCAACCAGAGCCAGAGCACTGAGGGAGAAAGCAGAACAAATRCTTCTCACACAGTTTCCATTTTCTAAACCCTATCAGTTCTTCAGCCCAGGTACCCATGGTTCAACATCTATGTTCACATTCAAAAGAGAAAAAAGAAATTTGTTTTGTTCTGGGATTAGCTTCACACTGAGCTTTGCCTAATGCTATTGCTTTCCTTCTTTGTCTTGCTATTTCTGTTGCAAAAACTAACTCAGACTGGCTTTTGGATACTCTTTGCTTCAGCTTGATGCGTCTTACTTCCAAAACCTTATTTTTTACACTCATTAACTCTGKTTTCTAAATCCATATAGGCTCCTTGTTTACTACCTATCCACTCTTCCAATACTTTCTTTCTTGGCTTGGTAATAGCTTTATCATCTTAATCACCAGTCAGATTTAAGGAAAAATTACCAGCCACATTGGTGATCTATTTACTTCTGCTCATTGCTTTACTATCCTGAGGCATTGAAAYRTCATGTACASAATAMACAAATGATAGAATAAATAWSAATAATAAATAATAATAACTTTACTATTACAAAATGTGTTAACATCACAACCTGCAGATAATGTCAGATACTAATTAGAAGTGTTCATATGGATCAATTCCTATTTAAAAGGAGGGAGCAGATTCTTAACTACACATTTATGAATAACCATCTGGATAAAATACTTCAGGGGGAGAAAAGATCTTTTTCTTTAACTTTCAGTTGTATGTGGATATATCTATCATTGTAAAGTGACTGGAAAAGAGCTATCTGCTCACAACCTGATATATACCAGTCACTCCTGGATCAAAGCGCTGATTTCAGTGCYGGAAAAAAATAAGTCATCATCAAAGAAAAATACGCAGGGGAAAAGATTCTTTGAAAAACTAAATCATTACTAAAAAGCAAAGCAATAATGACTGTTAGAAWATTAACACTTAATTCTTGAATGATTAAGTATTTTCTGCTCCTGTTTCTGGGTAATGAAAATCTTGGTTTGTTGAATTTCTCATGTGCTTCCCTCACATTGGGATTTGTCTTCATCAGAGGTGACTTTTCTCAAAAATCTTTTTTGAGAAGAAGAATATTGAGTAAGGGCAGATCTCTGAAGACCTTCCTCATACAATTTCATCAGAGATAATCTGCAAATTCTGATTTACACAACAGCCTCTCTGTCAAAAGGGCACCTTGCACTCCATGCCCCCTTGAAGTCATACAGTTGACACCTTGGCTGTCTTGCCACACAACTGGATCACAAGYACAGGGCTGTATTCACCCATGGCTACACTCATCTAAGGCTCWCACACATGCACCGGGCAATATTTGCCCGTTCACTGAAATTTGTAGAGATACCAGAGAGGAGTTCGTTCACTCCCGAATTTAAATAGAGTTGTAAGGTAAGGAATTCCTGCTGTCATTGTGCACTTGTTGGCAAAAAGACAAATAAAAGATGTTAACAGGGTATCAAAAAAAAGTTGCATTCCATTATTAAAACATCGTGCTGAACCACAAAACAGCATAAATACATATTTTCCACACCCAGTTAAGTRCGCTAGGCCACACATGAGCGCATTGAAAGTATCACTTTCTACACCTTGCCTGCAAGCAAAAGGAATTCCTGCCTGCAAAGGAAAGCACACTTAACTTCTTCATGCCACCAACATTTTAGCACAACAGTAAAAATGACTGTGCTAAAATTCCTTTTCTCAAGTAACTTGAAACACCAGACCCACTTATGTTAGGAACTGACCTGTTGGTTCATAGGGCGGGTAAACAAACACCTTTCTTCACACTAGAACCTGAGAGTTGAAAATGTTACCATTTCTTTCAGACGAAGTCAACAGGTGAATACTGTAAGTGCTGGGAAAAAAAAAATCCGCAAACCAAATCCCATAGCACCAAAAACACCACATCCACTGCACTTTGAACCCCAGGATGAAAACCTGCGAGGAGGTTTCACACTTCTCCCGCCGGAGGGGAAATTAAATAAAAATAAGCACATGGACACAAAATCGCGGGTGACGCTTTCCCGCAGCTCACCGTCGGACCGGACCGAGTGAGAAAGCTTCACACGATGATTATGATTTGCGGGAAAACTCCACATTATCCCCCAAAAATAAGGTCGGAGAGACAGAGCGACGCCCCCGCCGCGATGGCAGGGGGACAGCCCCCACCCGCTCACCTCAGCCGGCCCCGAGCCAGGGATCCCGGCCCCGCCGAGTCCCAACCTACCTCCCAAGCCGGGCTTCCCCGCCCCGTCCCGCGATGAGGAGCGACGGGAGCCGCCTGCACCCTCGGAGCGGCTGCGAGCGCCTCTCTCCCGGGGGGATTTGTGGAGTCACCCGCCCTCTGCTCCCGTATTTCCAAATAGATGAAATGCAAACAAACAAAAAAAAACAAATTACAGGCTAAAAAAAAAATCCGGATGAACTGACTCAAGTGGAAGGAGATCTGCGGTGGTGGGGTGCATCCGAGGCGTCACCGCAGCGGGGGATGCGGCGGGGCTGTGCCCGGCGAGGGCTGCGCCGGGGCAGCGGGGCTGGCAGGGGACCGAGCATCCGCCGCAGAAACCCCCGTGGCACGGCCGTGCCCTCCTCCCTTCCCCTCCTCCGGCYGCTCCCCGCTTTCCGGAAACGCCGCCCGGGATTTGACGGCAGCTGGTGCGGCAGGGTGTTGCTGGCCGCCCCTAAATCAGTTCCCTCCCAAAGCAAGGAGAGAAAGGGGGCTGTTTAGAGGTGGGCGAAAGAATCCCTGTGTCTTCTAAAGGGAACATAGGTTTCGTGTAATTTCTGCTCATCCTTTATTTTAAGTGCTTTCTCAGACCCCGGAAATCAGCAGTCCCTCCTCTCTTAGGGCTACGTTTCCATCCAGGTTCTGACATACAGGYACCACTTGTTTTGTAGTTTTGCTGGAGTTCTTGCCAACCCCAGGCTGCTCAGTGAACCTAGCACATTTCCAGAAACACGTAAAATCAGTGTCGTAGATCCTGCCCCGTCTAGCCTGGGTGATCATCCTACAGCCTGCAGGATGGGTTTGCCAGGAACACGAGCTCTGGAATCAAAGCAAGACACTTAGGTTGCTTTGCCACCATTTGCTCATTTTTCTAGGATTCGGAGTCATATTAATGTAAAAACCCAAATGCACCTCTTTTATTCTTTTTCTTACAAAGATCTTGATGAATTACAGAATCTTTGCTTTTTGAATAAAGAAAGGAGAACAAGAAACCAGCTGCAGCCTTGTGAACCATCTGTAAGCATCCTTTTATCATCTACTCCTTTTGGGAGTGGAGGCAATTTCCTCTTTTTGATGACAGCGCATTATTAAAGCTGATTTAATGATGATCTTGGGAGATCAGTTATTTCTAGCACATGAAGACAAAGCCTCCCATCCATCTTGATTCTCTGTCTGTTGCGTGTAATTTATTTCTTTTGTATTCTTTCCATTCATGTGGCATATTTTTCTTCTTCCATCCAAATGTATTTAWGGCACTTGGTCCAACTGACTGTATTGGTCAGTCACCTGAATCTGCTCTGGTGTCCATTTAAAATAAGTGAACTGGATTGCATACCCCATGGAAAACTTACTATTTTTATACAATCAAACATGAATATTTTGAAATAGAAAAAAATGTCAACCAGTCCTACACCAGTGACTAAAATGTAATGCTTGCAAAGATAGCAAACCCTACCTTCTATATCATCTACTTCTATCAAAACAGACGAACAAGATTGTTTTCTTTCTGCACCATTTCCAAGAGCTGGGCTGCTGCACAAGCTGCTCTTCTTGTGACTATTTTTGCAATGCTAAAATCATGATAGCATATCTGATATGGGCTATAAAATCCTCCAGCTTCAAAGTCCAGAATACTGCTCTGAAATCAAACAGACTAGAARCAAGATTCCCCTCCAGGAGTGCCCAGTGGCTGTGTTTCATTGGTTCTTCTGCTTCAGTCCAAGGGACCCACCTTAAATCCATTCCTTTACCTTCTTTTTTCCTAAGCCTTCTCTGGTTTTTCTTCAGTTTTCTCCTCAGCTCGGTCCACCCTTTTCAGGCTCACAGCTCGCTGCACCCAATCCTCAACCCCTTCCTCACTCCCAAGGCATAGATTAAACTGGATGCCATTTTCCCAGCCTTTGCTGAACCTGCAGCACAAATACCTCTCCTTGCCATCGTTTCCTTTGCTGCAGCACYTTTTTCTTCTCCCCCTTCAAGCATCCTTGTTCAAATACACTTAGTGTAACTAACTGTACTGATTTATTTTGCTTGGAAAGAATCAGCCCCAGGTGTGCATTTAAAAATGACAAATGAACTGGATTGCCAACAGTCCCAAGGAAAAATTCATTGCTTTTGCTGCCATTGAGCATGAATACGTGGAGTAAAAATACAGTGAATGATATTGGCAGATTCATATATGAGTACCAGCTGCTATGATAAATAGCAAGTCTCTAGAAACTAAAATATTATGGATAAGAATAAAGTATTTGTCACAGGCACATTTCTGCAATCCATTTATGACACCATGTTATACACAGGATACACAGCAGATACTCTACCATTTCCCTATGGAGTGTCAGCAGCAACACCAGGAGAGGGGATGGGTTATACATCCCGAGAGACCACGGAACTGTGTCTGTTCCTTGTGTCATGCTCATACAGAATTGGAGGCTGGAATACCAGAGACCTCAATATATTCTCTGAAGAGACAGTGAAGAGTGAAATGGGGAGAAATTTTAATTAAAAAAATAAAATGGAGGTAAGGAGACACTGGTGGCTACAATAAGATAAGTTTGCTTTCTTGCAYGGTACTTTGCCAGTTCATAGGAACAAGATCCATTCCTCCTTTCTATGCATTCTTTGCAATGTCCAGTAAACAGAGRGCTTCTCCTCTTCATCTAAAGTTTTTGCACCATTAGTGTTGCTTTTTGCATTGCCTTTTCCACCACTTGTGTTGTCAGCAGATTGGTGTGATGCCCTTTAGCTCAGGTCATCACTCCCATCAATCTTCCTGGATATTTTCCTCCTGGGACTTCATGTTCACCTTCCCACCTCAGGATCAGCTGTGACAAATGGCAATGCAGGCAGTGCTGTCTAAAGAATTTGGRTCCCTCTGGGCCAGCATGAGTCAGGATATTAAAATTTGGCCTTTTTTGTGACCAGCATGTTGTTCCAAGGCAAAAAGCATCTTTTCTATTTGTTTCAAACATTCTACATATTWTGCATCCAAAGAATTGCAACAAATCTGGTGAAGGGTCTGAGCACAAGTCTTATGAAGAGCAGCTAAGGGAGCTGGAGGTGTTTAGCCTGGAGAAAATGAGGCTCAGGGGAGACCTTTTWGCTTTTTACAACCACCTGAAAGGAGAGTGTAGCCAGTAGGAGGTTGCTTTCTTCTCCCGAGGAACAACTGGTAGGAMAAAARGAAATKATCTCAAGTTGTGCCAGGGGARGTTTAGATTGGATATGAGGAAAAATTGCTTCATTGAAAGGGCTGTCAAGCATTGGAATAGGCTGCCCAGGGAAGTGTTTGAATCACYGTCCCTGAACATATTTAAAAGAMCTGTAKCTGTGGTGCTTAGGGACATGGTCTAGTGGTGRATGTGGCAGGGCTGGATTAACAGTTGGAYGAAATKACATYAAAGGTCTTTTCCAACCTAAGTGGTTCCATGATTACAACAGTATACCATGTTAATTGTCAAATTCAGGAAATTAGAGGGATAGCTCCCTAGGCTTTCCAGCAARGAAGTCACAAACCACATGTGGACTCTACATTTAGAAGAATGTTAGATGTGATTCTTCTCAGATATTAAGAATGCTGGTTATTTGTTTTTTGCCATAGCAAAACTGATTTTAAATAATCCTAAAGCATSTGCTGCCCTGTAGTTTTCTATAATTCCTGACAAACACCATCACCACATCCCCGTAAAGTAAATTCACAGCTATGGCATGAGAAATTCTGCTTGTGTAATGATTATACATTCTCACACATTGCTCATGAGATATTCTCTTTGTTTTGAGTAATGGCTGGATATGGATATTGCCTTTCCTCTTTCAGCATCTCACTGGCAGCTTCTTTGAAATGCCTTAGACAGATATTTGTTGGTTTATGTTTTTATTCCTTTACCAGAGCTCTAAAGCTAATAATGTGTCTTAGATTTAGTTTCTGARTCTTCTGCTTCATACATATGACTCTGTGGTAATAACAATTTTCTCGTCCACATTATCTTGGGAGGCCTTGAAACAAATAAAAATTTAATTCTGAAGCTGAAGCAAAATATTTTCTAATTTATTTATTTCCTTTCCTGAGACTTAAAGCTTTTTCCCTTGCCTCTCTTGTGCTAAGAATCAAGAGCTGCTTAAATCAATTAAAAACCCTCAGGAACAGCCTTCATCACATGGTTATGAGCCAGCACAAGTTGTAGGCACGTAATTAGGGCAGCAGATTGCTGGGACAGCAGAAAAAGACAGCCCTTTGTCTGTTTTGCTATGCCCGAGTTTTAGAAAGCCAAACGAGCTGCTGCAGCAGAAGAGGGTGTGTGCCAGCCATGCTGTGCTGCTGAAAGGAGAGGTGCTTTCCAGGAGTAACAGTGGCTATTCCCATTCCTTCTGCTCCCTGCCCATCAGCTGCAAGCCAAGCTCATGGAGCTTTTCTGCAAACTTGTCCTTTTTTTTAAAGTCATGCCTGCAAATTAATATATTATGTCCTGACTTATATGTTCCCTTGTCATAAAACCAGACACAGGTATCTGACAAAGAAATACCATTCCCTTACAAGAAATTCACTGTTGTACTCAAAGACATGCACCACTTCCAGTGAATGGGAATAAATTTTCAAAAACTACTCYTTGGCCCTTAATCCTTTAAAAATTGCTATGCGAAAAACTGCTCAACATGGAATATTTCAGTGTGGTTGACAACTCTTAAATAAATCTTTCACTTTCTATGGCCCAGAAGTAACTGCTGACAAATTACGGGTTCAGGAGAAGAGATTCACCCCCTATGTTTTCAAAAAGTATGMAATAGTCACTGTAGCAACATTTCTGTCACGTTTCTGCGCTCTTCCAGAAATGGATCAAATCAGCTGGATAATTCTAAAACTCCTAGATAAAATCCTTTCCATTGCAACTCCATACAGGTCAGGTCACCTCTTTGAGTATATCTGTGGATGAAAAAAGTTCTATTACAGCTCTTTCCAAGTTCACCTGACAGTATTGTTATTCACTGTTGCTTTGTTTCTTTAACTCTGAGCCAATACA